CAAAAAAATGGCGATCAAATTAACAAAAACTAAAATATTAATTCAGGTATCTAAAATGAGTTACAAACGCAAACTATATATTTCTCTATATTTTCGATTGTAAATTTACACCTTTGATCCTTTAAAACACTTTTAAGTTTTGAAAACGTGCGTTCCACATCACAAGAAATGATGGGTGCAAAATTAAATATTGAACAATCTACGTTTTCAATTATGTATGTATTGTTGCTAGCATTTCCATTACCGCAAATTACGTTATTTACGGAACATATAAAATCGTGTCCTGGATGCTTTTTTAATAGAGAACATAATTTTTAGCACGCCATTTCCCTCACCTTCCCCTGGTGTGTTTTTTAAAGATGTACATATACACTTTTTCCACAATTTCCATACTTTGGTTTAATTTTAAACCTGTAGTTTCTAATTGTTCTATTGCACCAGCAATAATTTTAAAGTGACTTTTAATGTACAAGAGTTCATTTTTAACGTTTGCTTTATTCAGGAATTCTTAAGCTTTTTTAATGCTTTGTGCATCTGTGTCTTCAAATGACATTACAACCTAAAAATATTCAATATAAGAATGATAGTAAAAAAACCATTATATATTTACTGACTTGTTTTAAAACATCAAAGTGTTCTGCATAAAACAATGGTGCTTGAATCCAAGTGCCCAACCTGGTTAATGCAGGTTCAGGTGGGAGAGGTGTATTTGGTAAACTGTTTTTATGAAGTCTACTCTTATTGGTGCTTTTAAAAAGATTTTCTCAACATTGCTAATTATCCCATTGACATCTGGATAATTCAGTCTAATTGTTTCAGACACTAAATGTAACCTATGTGCCATACATGTTAAGTGTATTATATTTTCATAAAACACCTTCAAATTAGTACCAGTTTTGATAATGTATGAAGCATCATCTGGTAAATACCCTACATAAATCGGTGCAAAATTGCGTAAAATCGTTGTCGGAACGAATGTTTAATAAAATCTGTTTACTGGATTTATTCTCGTTCTTTTTATGTGCATCGCCAATGCAGTGTTGTTCAAAGTGTGATTTCTTTTCGCTCTTAAACTAGGAAACAAAAATGTGAACATAATTCAAGCTTCAGTATTTTAAATGTTTACTTACAACTTTTCCACACACTTTGCAGAATAACTCATTGTCTTTGGTAGAAGAAGGAAATTGAAAATTAGTGTCCAAATTATTCCCTAACCATAATTTGATTTTATCTTTCATGGATGATTTTAGCTTAGGCATTTTGAGGATTCTTTACTGTATGCACAAAAATCAAAACCGGCTCCAGCACACTCACTAACACGCAAAGACACTCAGTATCACTAACAATAAACTTCTAAAATAAAATGCTTTTTCAGAGATTCACCTCCTTCCGGCTATAATCTAAATGAAATGCAGGCCAGCGTTGTCAGTTGGCGACACCAACTCGGACCATTAAACTCAAGGGCGTTGTTAACAACCCATTTTTAAACAATTTGCCAGCCAAAGCAAAGAATTCACGGAAAATCTCTATTGTGCAAGCAGGTCCGCTTCGTTGGTCGTGGAATCCAATTTTAAAATAAAAAGTAAAACAAGGTATCCCGTATGGTTCACATCTCAAATTATAGCTAATTTAAGAAACAAAGAAAAGTATAGACGTAAATGGATAACAACTCACAATGAAACATATCAACTTGAGTTTAAACGTCTCCGCAGTCTAGTGAAAATGCAGATTTCTGAAGCTCATAATTCTTACCTCGATTTAGTTCAAAGAAATCTTAAGTCAAATCCTTCTAATTTATGGAACTATTTAAACCAACGACGTAGTTCTACAAGAATTCCTGGTCGAGTTCACAATGGTTTATCCGAATACACTGATCCACAAACAATAGTTAATGGTTTTGCAGAAAATTTTTCGAAATCATATTCAAGTGATTCTGCACACATTCCATCTCAATCTTCCAGCAACGCTTTACCATTTCAATTTCCTTACGTCAGTCCAGTTGAACTTATTAATATAATGTCCAAGTTTCATGATAAATTCACAGCGGGAGACGATCTAATCCCGAGTTTCATTGTTCGGGATTGTAGATATGCATTTGCAGAACCATTGTCACTTATTTTCAACCTTGCCATTAAAACTTCAACCTTTCCATCAAAGTGGAAATGCGCCAGGATCTGCCCAATTTTGAAGAAAGGTGATAGTTCAGATGTGTTAAATTACAGACAGATTTCAATATTGCCAAATTTTTCGAAAGTTTTTGAACAATCACTATATTTAACAATCTACAGTAATGTGAAAAAATATATCTCTCCCTATCAGCATGGCTTTGTTAGTGGTCGGTCTACAGTTAGTAATTTAGCCACTATCACGCAATATTTAAGTGAAATAATTGATATTCGAGGTCAAGCTGATGTAGTCTACACTGATTTCACTCCAGCTTTTGATTCAATTCAACATAGTATTCTTCTGCAAAAGCTCGATTTGTATGGATTGTCGGAGGACTCACTGCTGTTAATGCGTTCTTATTTAAAAGACAGAACATCTTACGTTGCTTATAGTGGTTATGTGTCTTATAAATTTTCAGTTAATTCCGGAGTTCCGCAGGGCTCTAATCTTGGTCCTCTTTTATTCATTCTATTTATTAATGATCTACTTGAACAATTTAGTTGCCCAGTCCTTGCATACGCTGATGATATTAAACTATATCACTCCATTGGCAGTCCAGTTGATGTAGATATCTTGCAGAATAATATCAATCTGATGATAAGTTGGTGTGACATGTTTTAAGTTGCCATTGAACAAGGAAAAATGTTTTCTTGTCAAATGCAGCCGTAAAAAAACTTCAACTCAATCGTCCTATGTGTTGGGAAATCATATTATTAAGCAAAAGAATTGCATGAAGGATCTAGGAGTAATTTTTGATTCCGAATTATCATTCCTTCCACATCTAGAGGTTGTTTGCACTTCGGCGTATAAATCATTAGGTTTTGTTATGAGAACATGTAGGCATTTTTCTGACTTAACTTTAATTAAACAACTTTATTTTGCATATGTGTTAAGTAAAATTGAGTATGCAAGTCTTGTATGGAACCCTATTTATGTATCTCATATTATGGCCTTAGAGAAAATTCACAGACGGTTTTTAAAATATTTATCATTTAAAATTGATGGAGTTTATCCACAGATTGGTACTGATCAGCAAAATTTGCAAAGTCGACATAATATGAAGTCATTATTACAAAGGAGAGAAATGTGCTGTGCAAAATTTACTTATAATTTAATACACAATAAGATTGACTGTGCATTTTTACTTTCCAAATTACCATTTTATGTGCCACGTTTAGCATCACGATATGAAGCAAGTTTTCAAGTGCCAACGGCGAGAACAAATGTCTTACAACGTTCACCGATTCATGTCATGTGTAAAGCTGTAGATAATGTATATAATGATGTATTTTGTTAGGGACACAGAAATTTGTTATATTTTTTCTTTTTTTTTATTGTTAATTTTCTTTATTTAACTTTATTTTGTTAAACACACTTAATAATTGTTATTAATATTGTCCTATAAGTGGTAAATCTGTTGGACAATAAAGAACATATTATTATTATGAAGCCTTTTAAAAGTGACAATTAGTTCGTTTAATTAACACTTTAGGTCTCTAACGGTAAATTAGGCATTTTCGGTAGTAATAAATGGGCGTTAAATAAACAGAATTTTTTAAATTCCGATAAATATATAAATTTCGGCGCAATGCCTGAAGTAGATATAAAAAGGCAAAAAACCTAAGATCCGAACCCTAGTCATAACTTTTTAAAATAAATTACCCTAACAAACGGATTTATTTAAAAAAAATAAAAATATTTTTAAAAATAAAAAAAAAAGGAAAGTCAAATAATTGTTTTTGAATTTTGTCCTTGCAATTTTCTGCATTTAGCAACTCTTTTGGCGACTCACGAATTAGCGGGTTAGTCTGAGGTAAGAGGCATTTCATCATTGAAAGAATAATAAGATATACAGATCAAACATCTGCTGTAAATTTCATGTCTCTGTGTTAAGAAAAAAACTTTTCCATTGCCGGTGAGACCGGAATGCGACGATCAATTTCAGGATGTCGCTAAGCAGAATTTGTCTTGCAGTATCATCTTTGGGTATGAATTGTAAGAGAATATTCGTGCTCATTTTATTTATGTTGTGTAAATTCTGACACTGTCTCACATGAATAAAATATGTTCAGTCGCATCTGCAGTATGGTTGAATAAAAGAAGAATAGCTAGACGTGGTAGTTTCGTTCAAGTTTTAGATAAATGACAAATTAGAAATGAATAATTGTATTCATGAAAACATCGAACAACCAAAATTTTCGTAATTAAACTTCTGTAACTATGACAGTCATATTGTTGTAGTTGTCTTTTATTAGACTGCGATACCGGAGTTAAATTGGTTTCAAAGGGCGACGATTCAGACTCGAGTGCATGTTGGTATGAGCATGAGGGTAAAATATTTTAATTATCTGGGCTATAATGTTTTTCACATTGTTTACATTTTCGTTCGAGATTTACCAGATTGTGAGGACAGCCAAAGAGCTTGAAGGTATTTTACTATAGGAAACTCATTTTTACGCCAACGACAAAACCCCAGTTTTTAATATTAAAAGTTTTAAAAAAGAACTGCGAGGAAGAATAAGCCGGGCGGATCGCAGATGCTCCTGTTTCAACATATCACAAAAATGTGGCGTGCAAACATTAATAAAATCACATTACTGTAAAATTATCCACCATTAGCTTTTCCCCATTGTTAATCCGATGGACGTTTGGAAAAACCGTGACTACCCCTCACTGAGCACGCTTTTTTCATAAAACTTTTCCACATTATGTAGGGGCCGAGACTGGACTTTGGTTTGACGACACAAAGCACTTTAGTTGTGACGACACAAAGCTTAACCGTTGTATGACCCTAAACCGTTTAAAAACTTTCTACGTTTGACTTATTTTTACAGGACGGACGACTGCAAAGCGGAGACCACATCTTACAGATCGGCGAGGTTAATCTCAGAGGACTCGGGTCTGAGCAGGTCGCCTCGGTTTTGCGTCAGTGCGGAATTCACGTCCGGATGGTAGTAGCCAGACCAGTTGAATCGACTTCTGCAGATTACCAGGTAACCGAAATATTTCTCAATTTGCTTTCAGAGCAGTGGCGGATATGCAGCTTCTGGCGCTGGGGACAAAAGTTATTACCTCGCGTGTTGTGTTATACATGAAGTATTTTACACAGAAAATACCGAGGCGTGATTGTAAAAAAAAGTAAAGATCTCGTACTTTTGGAGTATTTTTTGAATTTTTGGAGATTTGTGTTTTTATACAATTTTGATCTTATCAGCTTAGTGCCAATGTGAGAGTTTCAGTTTAAAATGCTTGAACAAAAAACATTTTCATTGGTATCATACTTCAGAAGTTGATCAATCTTGTTGATAATTTGTAAATTTCATAGAATTAAGTAAAATTTGTTTGCGCTTCGCCGTTGAAATATTAAATTAGTAAAATTCAAATGGCGTTCTGGAGTTACTAAATCTCAAGGTAATTGGTCTAGCATTTCTATGGAATGTATGCAGAATTATTTTCCAGGAGAGAAGGCATGTAGAACAAATGGAAACGTGTCACTTTCGTGTGAACCGTGAAATGCAAAGGAAACATGAAATTATATATTCCTCAGTATTTCCGGTAGTTGTTGCTAAAGAACTAAAAGCGTGTAAAGTTTCTTACCACACTCTTCACATTTCTAGCATCAGCATGTGAATTACAATTATGTAATTCACATGCTGTTTTACGAACAATGTGTATTACATCAGTAATACACATTGTTCGTAAAAAAATCTAAAATACTAATACTGCATCTGTTTTAAATGTTCTGGTTCCAGATAATTTGTTGTATCTATTTAAACAACTGAAAAATATTAAAAACCATTTACTTTAGCTGTAGAAAATATTAAACAAAAAACAATCAGAACAGAAACAGAATAAGATGCAGTAATAAGATATGATGTTTTATTTGAGAAACCGAAATATTACTGTTTCAAAACTCATAATATAGAAATATTTAATAATTATAATACAATTAGGTACAGTTTTTTTCTACAAAAACTTATTTATTAAAATTCAATTGTAATTGTACCCCAACAAAGCGTAAATTTTTGTTAATCTGCTCGTAAAATACTGCAGCACAAATGGAAAAATATTACGATTTTTCTAAATCTTTTTAGTTTTAAAAATTAAAAAAAAAGAATTACTTTAGAACGTCGCATTGGGATTTGAAAAATAATAGATGTGTCTAAACTGTACTAGAAGAAACACATACATACTAGAAAACCCATAGGCGCCGTATGGGTTTATTTCGTAACAATACTATACATCTGTAATTTTGTACATTCCCCATAAATGTGTTTTGCGAGGTGTTGGCAACAATAAAAGAACCTTAAATCACGATAGTTGTCTAAGCTTGACCTGTCAAAGCTGTATAAAGTTATAATCATTATAATTAATGGAATTGAACCATAAATGAGTACTATAGCATTGACGTATATGATATCAATTCATGAATAATAAAACATTTAGGAAACGTATCACATCCCTGCTGAATTTTTATTAAATTATTACAAGAAAATATCCGAAAAAATCTCAGAAGGAGTGTCTGTTTTTCAAAAAAGTTATACTTCTTGGATATCGATAATCGTAATTATAGCAAAAATATGTGTGAGTATTTATTAAACTCTTAACTTAGAATTATTTGGAACATATGGAGCTAGTTTACCACTCACAGCTTGGTTTTAAAAGCAAAAAATCCACAACTATTATCTTCAGTACAATGCCCACCAAACCCCTAGAAAATTATGAACCTCAAAGTTATATTATTTAAGTTTTGATTATGTTGATCATATGATACTTTTGCTGAGATTGTGTTATTACAAAGCCACTAATAACAACGTCGAATTATTGAAGTCTCTATTAACACTCAGATCCAGTGTTTCGTAGGGTTCAATTATAGCACCGACACAATTCAATTCTTGACATAGATAAATGACTTGCCATATTCATTTAATAAAGAAATGTTTGTATTTTTGGCGTTGATCTTCTTAGAAAATATATTAGCCTAGGTAAAATAACACAAAAAACAGAGACATCAGTTAGTGAGTACGAGTAGTGTTCTGTAAATAATCTTATTCTTGGGTTTTACTTAGACCCTGCTTTGTCATAAGGATATCATCAAATTAAGTGAGCTTGTCTTATGCCAAATCAAAATAAGTATGCAGACCGTTATTTCATATGGCATATTCATTGTAAAAAAGTATTTGCATTTCAGAAGGAATCACAATCCAAGCTGGGCTGGGGGAGCGTAAAATTTGCCAGGATTATTTAAAGAAACTGAAAATTCTCCAGCTGTTTTGAAAAATTATACTCCTAATATATTTGATTTTGCAAACTTTTCTATGATATTTTGCACCTATTAGTTACAATAGAGATGTGTATGTATGTAGTGTTAAAGTAAAGATAAAGAGGCATGCTATGCGTATGTTTCAAGCGAGTCTTTTCACTACCAAATTTTGTGACAAGGTCGTCAACATTTTAGCAAGATCACGAACATCTATTTGGCTAGGTGCAGTGTACACTAACAATAAGTTTTTCAGAGTATTCGAAAATCTGAATATTTAGGATAAAAAGGATCACGACGGATTTATTATTTATTATTTATGAAATATTTACTATATAAAATTTTGAGGTGACGTTAACACATTATTGGTGGGATCTATCCGACAACTTTTGGTTAACGTTATGTAATTTTTCTATAGCGTACTGTGATAACCCAAACATCCCGTCTTAAATTGACATGTAAAAAAAATTGAAGGCCCGCGAAAAATTTAAAAATTCAAAATTTGGCTTTGACTGTGATCGTCTGACAAAATGGAACCCTACGTTGTGTTTTTGAAAAATGGCGGGAGGCGTTCAGATGCAAATGGTGGACCCCAAGGTTGGAAAAGTACCACTAAATAAAACACAAAATTTATGGAGGACACAAAATTATTGATTCCTCCACTGAGAAAAACTCGTGACTCGTGACTTGCCCTCAGGCTGCCCAGAGGGGCCAAATCGCAATCGCTTTTCAGCTCCAAAAAAAACTTATTGAACCGTGGATGAAATTTAAATGAAATCAAATTAAAGATTCTGAATCAATGCAAATATCTAAAGTAACTGGATGCAAATATACAAGTTATTACAGACGTGTAGCGGCAAATTTAAAAATTATGGTAGTCAACAAAAGAACAACATTAAAATAAACAAATTATGCAGCGGCAGCGGCATCAGAGCGCTATAAGAGTGTGGAGATCTACTAGGTCAATTTAATTCTAGAGCACAACAACAATACCCATTGAGGCGCTGTAGCATGAGCGGAGTTTGGGGCTCCTGGACGCGGCTATTTTTCCACTGTGACGGTGGTTCTATCCTATCGGCAAGCCTACCGCACAGCACCTCTCTATGACGAATATGCCGGTCGAAAACTCGTGGTTGGAAGTCAGGGCTATAAATAGCTGATAGCGTCACGTCGTCCAGACCGTTCCCCTGACTTCTATACAAAGTCTGCATTTTTTGTGCAGATGGCGCGATACATTCAGCCAGCTCGTCTAGGAACCGCGCCCTCCGCTTTAGTCACGTATTTCGGTGTTATTTAACCTCAATTCCATTTTAAATGTTCAATTTCTGTGAGTTTGATATTAACGACAAGTGGACAAGTGTTTTTTCAAGAAACAGCATTTAAATTCGTCATACACTTTTGTGAAATTTTAAATAACAAGTAATTCTTATTTGAGATTAAGATTGGACGTCAGATAATTTATAGCTAGAAACATTCAGCAACTTAACATTTACAGAACAAAAAAGCAAATATTTATAACAACAAAAGATCTGGTGCGAAATAAACTTGCGAAGATAAAATATTACGTCAGGTTAGAAACTGCAGAGCATGACGTAATATTTTATCTTCGCTAGTTTATTTCGCACCAGGGGTGCGATTTTGTTTCTCGATCGAAAAAAACTCGATAGCGATAAAATCTCGTTTGCTGATTGGTTGAGAGGCTGAGTTGGTGCGACATTTGTGTCACATTTCTCGATTCTGTCACGAAATCAAGTCTTCATGGAGTGATATTTTCTCGGTAACTCTGAATGAAGTGATAAATTTTGGAGACATAACCTCGAAATTTATGTCAAAATAGAAATTCAAAATCGTAATTCTGAGTTATATGTTCTTAAAATTAAGGTAATTGTAAACTTTTGAGCATTTAATAAGCTTATATGCAAAGAATAAATGCCAACTTTTCATTTAAAAGCCACGCAATGACATTTATCGCAAGTGAAAATTTATCACTTCGTTCAAGAAACAAAATCCCACCTCAGATCTTTTGTTGTTATAAATATTTGCTTTTTTGTTCTGTAAATGTTTTGTTGCTGAATGTTTCTAGCTATAAATTATCTGACGTCCAATCTTAATCTCAAATAAGAATTACTTGTTATTTAAAATTTCACAAAAGTGTATGACGAATTTAAATGCTGTTTCAGGTTAGAAACTGCAGAGCATGAAAATTTACGTTCAATTTAAATTATACAACAAAGAAAATTACTGAAGTTAAAATTGTTGGATGGAGAAATATTGTACGAGGTGAAAAAATGCAAAGCTAACAAATTTACATGAGATTAATATTTGCCACACTGTATCAACGATTCAAACAAAGAATTTACATTATGTTACATTATGCCATGATCCAAGTGATTGGTTAGTTAAAATAATTAACTTTGACAGTTTATCGTGAACTGGTTACCTCAACAAAACACATAATAAATAAACACAAAAATATCCAGTCATCGTTGCGAGGAAAAAGCGTCTCGGTGATGTAAATTTTAGCGTTGCCAGACAATGGTCTGGGTGATGTAATTTTTAGCGTTGCGAGGAAATGCCTCGGTGATGTAATGATGATAGCGATGATAATAACGATGGTAACTGCCTAAGGGAAGAAATTGTTTTAACTGCCGTAAATGAAGTGTTAGCAATCTTGTGTGAACGATTTAGAAGTGTTATAATAACACTGTAGTATTAGCATCCAGAAACCTCATT